TCTGTGTTCATATACAGCAACTGCACATGCCTGCTTCATGTTTATTCAGTGTACATTGTTTTTTTTTAAATACCCCAAGGGGGAAATTAACTTCAGGGTGTTCATTGAAGGGTAACTGTGTGGGAAGACATAACCTGATCAATGCTTTGCCATGGTTATATGGCTAGCTGCTCAGTAGAGGTCAGATTAATTTATTTTCCCCTCAAAATAAGGTATGCTTTTATGTTTCTCGTATTACAATAACTGAATAATTTGTATGACCTTCAGCAAGGTAAAACAAAAAGCAATAAAGAAAAAAGTCATGGCACTCTGAGCTAGGCTAAGACTAATCTCCCAATATTTTCAGGGAGACCATCAAGATATAAATGCTCCATATGGACATAAAGAATGCACTCCTAAGACATGAGCTAAAAAAGTTCAGCTCAAAGCCAAGACCTATGCTGGTCAACGCTGTGCCAAGAGTGTCAAAAATATCCCTTGCTGAAGTCAAAGACCTAAGCAAGGAGCCAATCCTGCCCACCCAAAGTTACATGAAAACTCGTCTGGGTTGTATTCAAATTAAGCTTACAAACTTGAAACCAGTACAGGGAGCGCAGTCATTTTCTGAGTGGAACTAATCTTACAAAAGTTGCCATGATGCTACTACTGCAGCGTGTACACCGGTAGTATGGATACAGTTTGGATGACAGGAACACTTCAATCTGCTTACAATGGACAGACAGCCTTAAAGGAGAAGTATGAGGTGAGTGAAAATCACTCCTCTCATAGTTTGAGCCGACGTGTGACAATGAAACTGTCACAGGTCGGCTCTATTGATCGAGAAGTGAGAGAACACATACCAGTGCTCGCTCACTTCTCGATCACCTCCCTGCAGAGACTGTCACGGCTCCCTGCAGGGATCCCTCCCTCCCCGCTCCGATCCGCCAGCGCTGACTGGAGGAACGGATGGAGAAGGGGGCGGGCACAGCTGGCTCTGCCTCCAGATAGGCAGAGCCAGCTGCCACTCACACAGCTGGGTGGATCTCGACAGCAAAAAGGGGATCCGTCCCGGCTGCGGTGATCTTGGTATATAGTGAGCAATAGCCCTCTATATACTGAGCTTTGGGTCACGGAAGGACGCTACTATATGTCCTCCCGTGACACCTTAAGAGAACTATGGGGAAAAACACTTACGTCATAGTTCTCTTTTAAGTATGAAAAACAGCTAAACGAGATCTGTAAAAAGCAGGGAAGCTCTAAATGTCAAAACGCACCAAATAAATAAAACAAACTATTGATTAGTGATCAGTAAAACAGATTGATTATTGCACCAATAAATGAATGTGCAGCTAACACTGCACTCTGCATTCTTTGCAGGCAACAGAGACTGAAGACAAGGAAACAGTAATGTAGAACATACATGACTTTTCACCTCTAGTAGCAGAACAATGAAAATCTTCCACTGACATGTAACTCTAATAGTGGCTGTACAAAGGTTAAACTGCTTGTGTAAGCCTGCCTGTAGCAAGGACAGACTGCATGCTT